TAATTATTTTTATGTAATTTTTTGAAGTTTGGGTAATTTTCGTTAATTTTAACTTAATTTTTTTTAACTTTAAAACCTAAGTTTTATTAGTTATAATAAATTAATATCATTTTTATATCCTTTAAAATCTTTTTACATTAAAAAATTTTTTTTTTATAATTTTAATAAATTAAATTAATTTTTTCATTAACAATTTTAAATTAAATTAAATTTTTAAATTTTTTATTTTTATTTTTTAATTAAACAATGTAAACTCCCACGAAATTTCGCATAAATTTACTGGCGACCCATTAAATGCACGCACATAAGCCTCACATCTTTCCACAGCGCACCGAAAACCCAGACTAATTGTCGCCAATGTTAACAAAGATGATGCAATTAGTGACAGCGCTCATTATGCCAATAGCACAGACACCAACTACAAACTACAAGACACGCAAGTATATATATATAAATACATACAAACTCACTTATAGAGAGAAGTATCCTTTCCACTAGCGCTGCAGTCACACGAAAATAAATTATATAAGAAAAAAAGTAACCAAAAAAAAAATTAAACAAACAATATGAAGTGGCTCGTAGCTTCACTTCAAAGGCGCGCTTCCGTATGGCCGCCCACCGTGACATTCCTAGAATCACAAGGAACACCACGACGGCGTGCAACGACAGCAAGTAGCTAATATATATATGTATATACAAACATATGTATGTATGTAAGTGTTGCATAAAGGATGAATGGATTAGTGCTAAGGCACAGCTAAGCATACAAACAAGCGCGCACACACACGCGCACGCACATCTACACAGATAACGTTGACACTTTAGCTTATGACATACTTTCACAAGGAGTCGCTCTCATTGTCAAATGCTTAGACTTCGTCGCGCTCAACAACGCCAGTGGCAACTCAATCGAAGTGTGTGACTGCAAGTAAAATGCTAATCGCCTGCTGTGGCATTAGATTAGTTGCTAGTACTTAGCAAGTGTGGATACACAGTCACACACAACACACATTCGCACACATACTCATATGCATATCCTGCGGCGCACATACTAATTGTACGCTTGTTGAGATCAAGTGTTTGCTGGCGAAAAGGAGTCGGCGCGCTGTTGAGCAGTAGTAGTCAAGCAAGTTGTCCCCGCAGGAGAGACAGTGAGAGGAAAACGCAAGGCGACGTGAAGAGATGCCGTTACAATGATTATGTAAGTAAAATTTTGCTAGTGTTGAAGGAGAATTAGCGCTCAAATTTCCCGTGTGATTAAGTTAAGTTACGTTATGTTAAAATTAAATCTGCACTAGCATTTGATATTTATTGTTTTATAGCGTTAATTTTTTATTGGCAGTCAAGTAGTTATACCATTATAAAGGAATAGATAATAGAGGAGTTGTAGTTGAGACATGGAAGAAAAAAGGAATTATTTTGTTACCTAGACTGACAAATATGTAAAAGATTGCGATATGATATGCCAAAAACAAAACGACCTGTCAAAACTGCATACTGCGGTATTTTTCTGCAAGACGTCACGGACTAATATTTAGTGTCAAACGCGCTGAAAAATAACAAACATGACGATACTGTCTTCAAATTTATTTCGACTAACGAGACTAACGGGTGTCATTTTTTATACGTATGGTTTTCAATGAGGCAATATTTTATCGGAGTTGGCCCTTTTGACTTTGGTTTGCCAAATTTATTACCAAAATTATGGCGCGGCTTGCGTTTCCAATATTTGGTCGACATAGCAGTGTCGATAATTAGAGCAACCATGGATCGGTATCGCACCACGCGTACTCTAGTGTCTAGTCTAATTCGACAGAGACGCCGTACAGTACGCACCGACGATGCTACTGCCGCTGTGGAGCAGAGTATCGAATGAAGCCATCTGCCATCACGCGCAACAATTATGGAACTCACTTCTGGTTGAAAAGATATGTTAATAAGCAAAATTGTCGCATTTGAAGTGATGCTAATCCACAAGCCATTGTTCAGACGTCATTACATACTGGAAAAGTCACTATTTGGTGTGCTTAATGGGCAGAGGGAATCATTGTTTCATATTTATTCAAAAATGAAGCAGGCCATAGCATTACAGTAAATAGGGCATGCTATAGAGCTGTGATTAGTGACTATTTCGTGCCGGAATCGGTGGATGTTGATGTGATTGAACTTTTCCAACAAGACGACGCTAAATGCCATACACCCAACTAAACAAACAATTTATTGAAGGGAAGGAAACGCGTTATTTCGCGTTGTGGTTATGTGAAATCACTTTCTACGCAGTTAAGCCCGACCCGATTGACGCCTTGGAAGATAACATACGACAACAATTACTGCAAAAAATTGTCGAAAATTGGGCCTTTCGGCTGGAATTTATTAGAGCTAGACGCGACAGTCACTTACCGAAAATTATTTTTTGAACACAATGGCAAACCCTTATCTTTATAATAAAGCTACATTCTTGGCCATAACTTTAAACTAAATGCGTTTTATTTCTTTTTAAAAACCACATGTCGAAAAAACGCCCTTTATATAGCTATCAAATCAAAAATTCTCATTAAATTCTGAATGAAATTGATTTATGTACATGACACGCACATTCAAGTGTACGATTTCCTCGTATACTAGTTCCTCCCAAAGGTTCTATTTATTTTGGCTTTCAGCTACATATTTGTTGATTTTTATAAGTTGAAATTAAGCGGGTTATATGTTACATATTATATGTATTAGAGTGGGTCAAAAAAAAATGTTTTTTCATTTTGTTTTTGCAGAGCAGTAACAAGACAATGATTTTTTATTATTTTGTTATAAAATTCAAAAGAAAAAAACAAAATTGGTTTTTAAATAATCAAACTTCAATTGTTATTATCTTTTAAACGGTTAAGTTTACCAAAAAACTGTAAGAGACCATTTGGTAGAGCAATCAATTTACTACAAAATCTACGAAAACAGATATTATTCAAGTAGTTGCTCATATGTAGATGGCCTATTTTAAATGTGTCTATCGAGCTATTTTTCAGAGTACCAAGCCAAAAAAAAAATCCTTTTTTGGACCCACCCTAATGTATATAAAATATGTTATATAACATATGTACATATGTACAGTTTTATATATTTTTTTTATATTTTATACGTTTTCAAAATTCTATATAAGCACTTTATTGTCCTTTAAATTGTTGCGTTTTTACTTTTGAGTTAAATTTAGCTTTCGTTATTTCGTGTGTGAATTTATAAGTATATAAATCAATGCCAAGAAAACTTTGAGTTGTTTCCCATGTATTATATAAATGTGTATGTATCAATGTGTAAGGGACAAAATGTCAAACGCAATCAACCCTAAAATTGGTTCTGAATGAAAATTAGCTGCGCCCAGGCAGCAAGTTGGTTTAACCGAATAATATAATATATATATACATATGTATACATATAAATATATATATATATACATATAAATATGTATAGAATTATGTGACTGAGCATGTAAAGGAATAACTTTATATTAAATAATGGTTTATTTTGTTTTATTTAGAATTGTTGTTGCTCCAATCGTTAGCATCGCCTGCAAAGCAACCCACAAAATAAAAAAACAATCTGGTGCGCTGCTAAGTAAACAAGGTCATATTTTGGTTGATTGTAAGTAAAACTACTAGCTCGAAAAAAAGACAGTTCGTCTTTTATACTACTACCTACCGTTACTTCTTTTCTATCTGAGTACCCATTAATAAAAATATGAAATCTTTTGAATTCAGAGCTAAGAGCGTATTAAATCGATAAATTTAAATAAATCGATTTCTTTCATTTTTAGTTTGCTTAAATATTTAAAAATACCACCGCAAAAGTATTTTTCTAAATTATTTTTAAACTCACAATTCAGTTCACAACTTTAGTGTCGTGGCGACTCGCAATTTTTTGGAAACCACATACTTGTGTTGAGGGGTTTCTCAAGTTCTAATCAACGAGAAATTCTCTCATTTCTTTCGCCTACCCGTATATACGCGATATTGAGGAACTAGCAATTTTAAAGATATAGTTTTGAAATCTTGCACATTGCCTTTTCTCTCCAAGAAGCTGCTCATTTTTCGGAACTGTTCAAAAGGAACGATCAAAATCAAGTTCTTATATAGAAAACTTTTTTAGTTGACGAGATATCTTCAGGAAATTTGGTTTGAATTATTACTTACGATAACGGTATAGTCTCCGAAGAAATTGTCTAGAACGGACCACTTTAGCATGAATCTACCATACAAACTGACCGATTAAATTTTCATGTATGGAATCTTTTGTATTTGTAAACGGTATTATATTATAGTTTCGGTCTAACCGAAGTTTTTTCTTTTTTATAAGATGATCAGAAAAGTGAAAATTGTGACAAGGTTGACACGCCTCATCTATTTCAACAACTTTGAATATTGTAGAATTAATTTTTTTTTCGTTGAAATGTTTTTGTAAAGTCTTGAAATACCAACAAAAAAGACGAGTAACAAACATATTAACCGGTTTTTTTTTTTTTTTTTTGTTAGGCATAAAAAAATATCTGAAATTCAAAACCTAAGACTAGATTAAGTCATACAAATACAAATACATTACAAAAACACTAGGCTAAAGTACTCGAGGCAACACATTCTACTTTAAAGTTAACTGATAAATTTATAGATTTCTGATAAAATATCTCTATAAACTTATGAATTGCAGACCCACGAGATTGAAAACACAAACGATTTGCGGAGAGCATCTGCTACTGATGAACTCAAGTCATCTTGAGCATTAGTAAGTTCCTATAGTATTTTTAGGTTATAACAACACCATTCAGTATAATTTGATTTTCCACACTTTTTAACTTCACACTCTTTTCTCAAAAAATAACATTAGCACATTTTTTTTTAATTTTGGAGCACTCATAACCAAAAATGTTTGCAAATTTTGGGAGTAAAACTTGCTTGCAACATATATTCCGTGACAATATTTACAAAATAATTTTAATTATTTGATTGGCAAACAGAATATCACTCACCTATTTGTGGCACGTCGTACTGCCGCTGCCCTCGCGCCGTACGCAACATCAGCTGACTTGCGATGGAGGAGTAACCGTTGGTCGCCGCCGCAGCAGCCGCTGCTGACATGCCATTAGCGGCACTGACGCCACCAACGCTGCCGGAGCGCTTATGATTGGGATGCAAGAAAGATTCTTGCTTTTGTGACGGCGTCTGCTGTTTTTTGTGCAGTTGTTGCTGCTGCTGTGCCTTCAATTTGGCAGCAGCCTTTGATAAGCCCGATGTTGGACTTGCATCATCAGCAGTGGTATCCTTGCCAACCTGCTGTTGTGTTGGCTCCTCTGGTTGCTGCTGCTGTTGTGGTCGTTGTTGTTGCTGCAGCTGATCACTTTTCATAGCCGCATCGTCGCTGGACATTATAGGTGCGGAGGAACTTTGTTGTTGCGTTGCCAATGCGTTCAAAGTGCTTGACAATTTATTGTTGTTGTTGTTGTTGTTGAGATTGTTAATACTACCATTTAACGGAATATGTTTAGTGGCGGTGGCTTCAGAATTGGCCAGCGAAAGTTTGTTGTGGCGCTGTGGTTGTTTGCCGAAATGGTGCAATTGCTGCTGTTTTAGTTGCTGACCGAATATATTGCGTTGCCACTGTTGTAATTGTCGCTGCTGTTGTTGTTGCTGTGAACGCTTACGCTGCCACTTCTGCTGCATATTATTATTGTAGTCAGCTGCGCTGCCGCCACCACCACCACCACCATAACCACCGTTGCGGTGCTTAACGCCACCGCTGAATGCATATTGCTGCTGTGACTGCGTTGGCTGATGATGTGGTTGTTGTTCGTACTGTTGCTGCTGTTCGTGTGTCGGGTGTGACGTATGTAGGCGGTGGGCTTTCGAATCGGCCTTGTCATGCGATTCCTTTTCGAATATTTTTTGCAAGGTATGAGACGGACTATTCTCCAGCTCTTCTAGCGTGCGATATGGATTCAACAGCAGTGGAAAACCGTCATTCAGATGATGTGGCCGACTGTTACCACCGGCGATGCCATAACCCAAACCGTCATCACCCCATAAATTGCGATGTTCCGGCGGCAAGAGCTCATCCAAATACTGATAGCTTTCTAAATCGGAGAGCACATCATCTAGCTCCGGTTCAGCTTCAATCAGCTCATCCAACTCGTCGTTGTGCTGTGGCTCGGTGTACTCTTCACGATCAGCCGGTTCTACTATGCGCCCATACTCATATTTACGATTTCCCCCACTACTTAAACGAGCTCTCTCATAATCACGCTCTTCATCGACATACTCATCATCCTCTATGGCCGCCGGCTCTTTAACAACACTGCCATAGAGCGGACCACGCGCTTGTGGCAACAACAGCGACGTATAGTCGCTCTCCACATCCTCGACGGGACTCATTTGTATGCGACCGGTAATAATAGGACGTCCATGATGACCCGTACCGCTATTGGCCAATGCTGTCTGCTTCGCCAGTCCGAGTAACATTAGACGTTCGCGTTCGAGCTGTGCTCTATCAGCTAATTCCTGTGACAAACGACCGGCATTACCCAATGGATTGACAGCGGATTTGCTTAGAGCACGCGAGAGTCCAATACCGCTGCCACCACCGCCGCCGCCACTGCCACTACCGCTGCCGCCGGCATGCAGATGTTGCGCATGCTGATTAGCGGAGAGTATGTTGAGCATTTGATTTGTATTCACGGCGGCATTAAGCTGTGCGGCGCCGCTACCACCATGGCTCGTGGGCGCATTGACACCAACACCGCTGCCGCTGCCGCCGCTACCCAAGCTCGCGCCATTGCTGCTACCGCTTGGACCATTCAAATGCAGCGCATAAATGCCAGCCTGAATGAGCAGCACACAAACGATGGTCTGCACGAGCGAGTAGAACATTTTCTTTTTGTTGATGCGACGCAAACGCTCAAGTAAACGTGCTATTTTTGGGGATTTTTGCGTAACTACTTGTCTGGAATTATATATATATATATATAAATAGGTATATGCAATTGCAGACGAATTGGATTCGTGCTAACAAAGGTTTTTTCGTTTTTGCTTTGTGTGTTTTAGGGGGGAATTTTTTAATTTAAATGCCGCTTTTGCTTTTTGTGTGGGAATCTCTAGCTAGTCTAACTAACGCGTAAGACTGTTGTTGATTTTCGTTTTGGTTTCGTTTTGGGTATTATGGAACCTGGGCGCGTACGTTTAAGTCTAAGCGGCAATACGCTTGCACACAAAAGTCTTCATTCTCTAACAGTCTCTCTGTATATTTGGGTATGCTATGCTCGTTTAATGGTATATTGCAAGTGCTTTTCCTTGCAACCGTTGCACTCGTTAATTTCACTCTTAATTTATTTTGTTTGTTACTTTGTGGTTGTCGTCAACTGTGCTCGGCTGATTCTGGCCGTAATGCCGCCAAAGAAACTTGGTAGTTTTAGCAAAGCAAAGCAAGCTTTTTTATCGTGGCGTGAATTTCTTGGCACTGTCGGCGCCTATTCACCAACTTTTTCCGTTGATTGCCGAAATTGTTGATTGCTGCCTTATGTTGCCTGCCGTTTTGCCGGTAGTAGCGCTCGCGTAGTCCCTGCTTTCGAACAGGACGTGTTTTTGATCTTTTGCCAAAAGTACGTTTCCGCTTCTGTTGTTTGTATGTGTGTGTGTGTGTGTGTTTCCTTCGCCTCTATTTCCGCTTACACGTTACACGTCTCGTTGCGCCGTTGATTTTTGTATGCTTTTTGTGTGTTTGTTGTGCTTGCAATGGCTTTTATGTTCAACGATTTCCGTTCGTTGATGTGCGCTGCCTGATTTCTGTTGCCACACACAGTTGCTTTTCTTTTTCGCTACTTTTGCGCTATGCGCTTTGTTTTCGTCGCTGGCTATTATTTGTCGGTTTCCCCTTTCAGCGGTGGCACAACTGCCAACGATAAATACACGCCGTTGAAATGGCAATTTCACCGACTTCAATTGTATGTTCGTTTGCTGTTGGCTCACCAGTCGCGCACAGTACTCTCGTTGTTACTGTAATCCCAACGATTACAATAATATTTGTGTTGTTTGTTTGTTCGTTTGTGTTTATGGTTGCGTCGCTACAATTCGGTTGTTTGTAGCACCGCTGCGGCTTGTTTCTCGTACGTTCGTTCGTTCGCCCTTAGTTCGGCGCTGGTTTCATTACCAACACACCGTATTGGTTGTGTGTGTGTGTGTTTTTTTTTTTTTTTCGTTAACTCAATAGCATACGCCTGCTCACTTGGCTCGCGCAACTAGACTACAGTTAGTGTCTTCCGTCTGTCTGTTGCGCTGTCTGTCTGCCAGTATTTGCTCGTACGGCTTTCGTGTTTTTTGTACTGTTTTTTTTTTTTTCTTCTTCTTCTTCTAGTCTATTTTATGTTCTCTTATTATTAGTTTTCTATTTACTTGCTGGTTCGCCTTTTTCTAGCACGCAGCAATCTTGTTATGTGTCAGTGGAGACAAAATCGATAATCGACTTGTTGGCCGGTTCGCGTATACCGTTAGCAACTCCACTTTGTCTGTCGCGAGAATCTGCGGCAATTCAGCTTATGTTGTTGCCGTCGTGTTTAGATTTGTTTTTTTCGCGTCTTAGCGCTTTCGTGCTGTGTAGTTGTACTAACGCACTAGCCAATAGTTTTCGAGTTTTCGAGGAACTTTGTACAGCAAATTGCCTGTAAAGACGCTTCACTTAGATTTTTCAATTTTATTTTCCACGTATATTTTTTTTTGCATAAATTTTTCTCATAAAATTTTCGCATAAATTTTTCTCATATATTTTTCGCGTAAAATTCTCTCTGCTTCCTAGTTAATCTTCACAGTTTTTAGTACTGTTATAATGTTCTGCTGTTTCATTGAGGAACTTTTCAGCCTTATCAGCGCTTGTAAGCTTTAGTTTTGCACTTAACACACTGCTTTCGTCTCTTCGTATGCCCGATCGTTTAGCTTCTTAGCACGCGCGACTCACAAGTTTATGCTGCTCACTTGCATTTGTTTTTATTTTTGTAGCTAACGTTTTAAGTCGTGACTAAATGTTTATTTTCACCTTCAGCACTCACTTCCTCACTTCTAACTACGTCTCGTCAAACTTTAGCTTCTGCCTAATTGCCTTTTCGTGTTATATGCCAGTCGCCGCTTTAGTTTCGTTGTCTTCGTGCGATTGTTTTTGACTTCGTGTGTATGTTTATGCGTGTATATACATATATATTATTTCCGTGAGGCACGACACGCATTTCTCACACCGACGACGTTACAGATTTATTTTTAATCCGCTTACTTACTTTCACCACGCTTTTTTATTTGTTTTTGTTGCTGTGTGCGAAAAACGAATTGCTGCACGCAAACTGTTGCTTGATTCGCTTGTGACTTTGGTGTGCTATGCAAAGCTGCGCGTTGCTGATCCTTTGCACTGGCTCTGTGTCACCACGCTTTGTGAGCTAGCTGCTGATTGACGACGGCTTTTGACCTCAGCACCGTCGAGTTTGGTTCAACAACTGTCTTGCAGCAACTTTGCACTAACTAACACACACTACGATAAAGTTGTTTTGCAGCGTTAACTTAGGTTTTATTGGTTTTGAGTTAGCGCTTGTTGGGCTATTTTCGTATTTACGGATTTGCTGATATTTAGTCGTACAGTGTTCACTTTCGCAACTTCGTGCGTTATCACTTGTCTTCGTCTAGCACCGTAATTGTCTGCTTGTCTAAAGCTCAACTACTTTTAGTCACTTCACTTAACTATTTGGTCGTTTTTTGTAATTTTTGCTTGTTTTTTTGTTTTTGTTTGTCTTTTTTGCTTTTCTTGTGTCTTTTTATTGCTTTTACACACACTCACTACTTTGCTATTTTGCGCTTGCTTGTATTTTATTTTCGTTACTTTTGTTGTGTTTCGTTGTGACGCTTTCCTTTCAATATTACACCAAAGCTACGCAGTAAAGTCTTGCGGCTTTTATTGCTTTTCCGCCAATTTAGTTTCGACTTTGTTTTTTGTTGCCACTAAAATTGCCAAACCACCGCGATGTTGTGACACACCGTCGCCGCGCCCACTGCTAGTTGTGCGCGCGTGTGTGTGTGTGCGCTGGCTTACAGCGCTTTTAGGTCGACTGCCTGGCTGGCTGGTAGGCTATTTTTAGCTTTTTATATATATTTTATATGCTTTCACGTTTTCTTTTATTCTGTTGCGTGTCTTCGGTTCCTGGGCAGCCTGTTTGGTGGTGTATGCGCACGCGTTCTCTCTGTGTATGTATGTGCGTGTGACTGTATTGCTAGTTAGGATCTTCTTTCACCTATCGCTTGCTGCTTTCAGACAATTTCTCTACACCCCTTAACTGGGCTGTCTTGCTGCCGCGATTGCCGCACCTGCCTCCTTTGCCCTATTAGCCTTACTTGCTGTGCTTGCCTTGGCTTTCGTCCTTTCTTTGCGTATCTCTCTGTGTGTATGTGTGTATGTTTATTTTTGCGCTGTTAGGCGTTGGAATGCCGTCGCCGTTGCCGTGCTTGCTGTGGACTGAGTTGGCAGTGGTAATTTGCTTCCTTTCGGCCGCACAATTACGCTCACTGCTGGCGCTGTCTGTCTATCTGTCCGTCTGTGCTTTGCCTTGCTGTCTGTCTGTCCACTTGTCAAGTTGCTTGTGCGCTGCTTGAGACTTGACGCGCTTGAAGACTGCCTACTCTACCTGCGCTCTGTTATCCTTACTGCCTTATGGCGGGTTGCTGTTGTTATTGTTATTGTTGTTGTTGTGAAGTGTCGAACTCACTTTTTCACTTAGCTTTCTTGTTTTGTTGCAATTTGCACTTTGTTTCAATCTTCTATTTTTGGTTCTTTGCACTTTGTTTTTGTTGCGCACTTATCAGCTGCAAACCGTGCTGCTCGCTAGCACTTCCTACTTATGATGACAACGCAGTATTACAAGTTTCAGTTTTGTTTCTGTGCTTCGTCGCAGTTTCTGTGGAAAATTTTTGCGCCTGGCACCACTTCGTTTGATTTGAAAGTAGTGTGGAACTTTGTTGGGGTTTCCGTCACTTTTGTTTCTTCATTTATTTATAACACTTATCACGGTTATTTGAAATCTCTTGGTCCGTCGCACTTTGGTAAGTACTTGCAGTTAACTGGAATATCAGATTCTTTAGAAAAAAAATATATTTTTTAGAAAACTTAAAAAAAATGTATAATACAGTTATTGTGTTTCGGCATTTTAAGTTTCGGCAATTAAGTGTAAGTTGACATTTTCACGAAGTATCCACGTTAGCGCGGCGACATTGGTTTCATTATTTTTATTTTTTATTTTTTATGCACTTAATTGCTGAAAGCAGTTCACAGCAAAGCAAATTCTAGCATTTTGAACTAAAAAACAATCATATTAAACAAGAACGAACAAAACTATGTTTTAAGTTTTTGTAGCAGACACTACTTCAACACAAAAAATGTAAACGTTTCGACCGCAAGAAGCCTTTAAATTATAAGTAATAGGTTTATTGTTATAATATTTTTTCATTTTTCAAAACTTTCCTGCTACATTTTTATACACTTAACAGGATATTTTAAGTTTGTAACACCCTGCAAGAAACGTCGGAGACCGTTTAAAGGGTATATATGTATAAATGATCAGCATAACGAGCTGAGCCGATTTAGCAATTTCCCTCTGTATATATGCGAACTACTACTACAAATTTTGAGAAATCGATCTGTAATTTTGCACGTGTCTTTTTCTCATCAAGGAGCTGCTCGTTTGTCGGAAGCATATATACTGATGATTCGAAATCAAGTATTTGCATGGAAACTTTTCTTATTTGACAAGATATCTATATGAAATTTAGCAGGGAGTAATGTAAAGGAGAGCATATAGCTGCCACACAGACTAACCGATCAAACTCAAACTAAAGAAATATATTGT